AAGATATTTCTGATGAATACATCTTCGAACATTTATTTGACTCAGTATCTGAAAGCAGTGATATTTTTCATTTTCTAACACTATACATTGAAACCTCTCATCAACGGACACGCATGCTTCCGCTGATTTTGTCCGCTTATTAGCAGTTAAGAATATCTGCTTTAGAGCATGATGGTTTAAAAAATGAAAGGATACTAGGTTACAACGCTTTATGTTGCATATCCTTCTGAAGCTCTTTCTAAGTAGATAATTACGGCGAGAATTTTTAAATTTTGTGCTTCGTTCCGTTAATGGATCATGTTCTACTATCTTTTCAGCAAGATTATTTGCTTCTTGTATAAATAAATTAAGTTCCTTCAACGTTAATGCTTCTATGTTACATGGGGAATTAATATCTTCTTCATCCGTTCCTGATTCATTTTCTATTAGTAGTGCTTCTAAGTCTGAACTGGACTGCTCTTCCTGTTGGTCATTGACGAGAGATTCGATATCAGCTGCTACAAAGGTTTGAAAATCATCTTCCGGAAGCAACCGTGCAGAGAGGACAGTTCTGTCTATTGCCTCATCAACTTCACTTGCACTTTGGGCAGTGTCTTTTTTTAACAGTTTTTTCCATGCATTATTCACGGTTGATACTTTAATGTCATTTAAAGCAAGTTTTATACATGTATGTATGTAGGAAAGGGGAGGGTATGCTTCCGCATACAGCACCTAGGCCCCAACGGGCCCCTTGTACATCCTCCTGCACTCTTTTCGGCTACATCAACCAGCCTAAGGAATTTCCAAAGGCTAGGATACAGCTCAGAGGTGTGTTTCTGATGCCATCTGTGCTTGGCAATTCCTCTTCGAAGTCTTTTATTCTGAGGTCTTGCAGAGTGGGACATTCACATAAGATTTGTCGAACCGTCTCCTCGCTCTCTTCACAGAGCAGACAGAGAGGACTAACAGCAAGCTTAAGGTTATAAAGATGCTTGTTTACCTTACAGTGACCCGTGACGAGTCCCGTAACAGTTCATAGAGCGTTTCTACCAAGCCTTACGAAAGACAAGGCTGCCTCTGCTGAGGGATAATGTAATACTTCCTTCGACAGATGGCCGCCCTTAACCCTATCCCACCAGTTCATAAACATTTTGTGGGTAAAATCTTTAATTATCTCAATCTGAGTTGATAAGGACGGAGCGATTATCGGTTCAGGCGAACATGGCACCCTTTTGGCAACCCTATCAGCGTGCTTGTTACCTGAACAAGTCGAGTGTCCTTTTGTCCATGTAGAACACGGTTATGCACTGCGGCCTTCTCCAATGTCAGATGACAACCCATAACAAGTCCTGAGGTAATTGTTATTTTACTCAGGCTAAAATAGCTAGTCTACTGTCAGTGTGAATTGTAAAAGTCTTACCTACCAAGTTGGATCTGACAATAGTAAGTTTGTGGCAAGTTGTATGGAAATTAACTCCGCCTGTATGACGGTGGTATTTTTACCTAGAGGTTCAGATACGTGGAGTCGAAGATCGTACGAGAAGACTCCGGCTCCAGCTCATTCCCGTCTACTTGAACCATCAGTGTAGATTTTAAGGCTGCTTTTTTTACCTCTACTTCTGTGGAACTTGGGTGGGTGCGATATTTCTTCGTAAAAATGTGTTGTAGGGGTGTGAAGTCCGTTTTACACTCCAGAATTGGTGACCTGCTGCCCGCAGTCGAATCATGGTCACCAGTACCACCTCTTGAATGAACAAATGAAGTGGCGTTAGGTTCAACATGTTTTTATACATGTAATCGCATGGTCAATATTGTATAACTTCCACACATCTTTTATTGAGAGAAAAATGTCATTTTGTAATTTCTTATGTACAAAACTGAACGTGTGCCAGATATAACGACTTTCAAAAGCTTTTATAACATCTTGGTCTAAAGGTTGTAACAAGAATGTTGTGTTGGTTGTCACGTGGGTGAGCTAATTTGAGAGCATCTACTGGATGAGATGACACTTCATTAACGAACATTCTTTATAGTACTCTATAAATACCTGAGAAGTCATCCAAGCTTTTGAATTAGCTCGCCAATAGACAGGAAGAGCTTTGTCCTTATTCTTTAAAGCTCATAGATTAGCTGCTCGATATATTAAGATTGGTTTTGTAATAAAGTGGCTTTTTTGTCCGCCTGGACAAAACAAAAGTGGAACTGTATCCTAAACCGAGTTTTGAATCATTCGAACCATCCCCGGCTTGGTTTAAATTTACAGTCATCTTCAGCACAATCCATATCACCCGAAAAATTTTGACAAAGTTCTTTGGTTTTATCCATTAATCTAGCCCTAGTTAATGGTATATTTCTGCGACCTTGGTCTTCAATCCAAAGATAAAGAGACTTCTCTATTTTTCAATATTTACATCGGGAACTTGTGGCATTACCTTTAATGATGAAGGTATGCCACCTTTTACGCTATTTCTGATAACATCTTCTTGTTTCTTTATAGATCTTATCGTAGATACATTGACACCAAAAACCCGACCTACTTCGGTAGCTTCTTTCTCTTCCCGGAACATATCAAGAGCCATAGGGTCATAACTGACTTGCACGTTTGGCAATTAAATTTATTTCCGTCGCAGGTTTTTTTGTAGCCATTTTGAATACTGTTGTGGCTTATAAAATTATGGTGAAAAAAAATTCAGGAAAAATGCTAACCTTAGTGAAATACAGAACACAAAAATAAGCACCTAACCTAACACAAACATTAAAATCGATCATAAACTAAGTACTTGCTATGTATTCGCGAATAATCGAGTCGTGATTGTATTATTTAAAATAAAACAGAAAAAACAACCAGAAAATCAAATAACACATTAACTATAAAATTATTAAAAAGCCAGGTAAAGCTAAGAATGTTCATTAAAAACATAATATAGGTATGTATACATATATTATGTACATACTAAAGTTATTTACATATTTACAAATTCTAAAATGCTCCTTTGACGCATATTTAGTACTTTTTATTTAAAAAAACTAGATTGAAAATGATCTTCAAAATTTGAGGTCTTCAAATGCAATGTAATCGTCATTTGCAAAAGCTTTTTTTTAAATCGTTAATTACTTTGAAAGCCTCATTATATGTAGTAATTGTGTTGTGTTGCTTTCAACAGTGTCACACTCGAGATCTTCTTCTTCTGATGCAGGATCATGTTCGATCATGGTCCTGCATCAGATGTCAATGTTCACACTAATCTTTTCTGTTGCTGCAATATCGTCGACTCGAACATAATTTTCAAGATTTTCTTATATTATGTTCATTTTATTGGCACACCTTTGCATTTGAACTATCGCAAATAAAGGCAGATAATCTTCTGGATCCCATTCAAATGATGTAGAATCGCCATTATTTTTCTGAAAACCAACTTTATTGAAGCAATTTTGTATCGTTGCTGAGGAAACTTTATTCCAGGTTGTTTAAATATAATTAAGTGCTTCTAAAACATTTAAGGACGTCGCTAACTAAAATTCTGTATGATCCCCTTGTCTAGTGGTTAACATGCTGATGTGGTATTGGGAGGTAAAAAGATAACTTTTATGCTTTGTAGCTTTACCTGACGTGGGTGGAACCTTACGTTGTCCAAAAATAAGAAAATTTTTCGTTTTTACCTGACCGTTTTTCTATCAAATTGGAGCAACCATTCATTCTTAATGTCTCGCGTCATCCATGCTTAAAATTCAGTTTCTACATTGCCACCTTCATTAATTTCCTTGATTAAAATTTCTATAACTAACAATTTATAGATATTTGTTGCCGTTATATGCATTTAAACAATATTGACTTCTAACATACATTTAAAAAATAGATACAGATAAACATTGCTTTGCTTTCCCATCTTTAAGTGAACGTGTACATACGAGTCTCCATTTTTCAATTGTGTCATAAAGTGTTTTTCGCGCTTTTAAATTATCTTGTCTACTAGTGAGTAATGTTTGGAATCGTTACTACAACTACATCACTATTTAGAAACGATTTGTAGATGTTATAGCACTACTGCATCAAAGACGGAACAGAAAGTAGCGTAATACTGAAAATAAAAGAAAATTAAAATAATGAAGAAGAAATGTACAGGTTATTTATTATAATAATAATGTTTGTTGAAATTATAGAAAAAACCTTTTGTTAGAACTTAGAATACACTGTGTTAATTAATTATCGTACCCGATGTCATCATTGCAAGTATGCAACTTTTACAACTCGATATCAATACTGTGATATACGGTATGGTAATACGCAAATCGCGTACAAATTACGTATACTGTGATATTGGTTGCATACTTGCAATGATGACGTGTCAGGTACGATAATTAATTAACACACTGTACACTATTAAACTACTCTCTCTTTCGATATTCGTAATTAGGAAATATTTTCAAACGTTATATGAAAAAACCTAGTATGCCTCATATCATGAAAGTGCTTAGCACTTGCTAGATATTAAAAATTTTCTCAAAAAAAATCTGCTGCTATACTTCGTATTTGTTTTTTTCTTTTTTTTGAATTTGAGTTCAAAGGGGATACACGCAACTCGTTTGCCATTGGAAAATTGCAAGTATCCTCAGGGAGCAACTCTCCCCCAGACTCACGTAACCTCCAGACGTTTTATCTCCCCGACCTTCTCCCGGTCAAACACCCTTCGAAAAGGGCGTTAAAGCGCGTTTCAAGCTGCCGCCGGGGGGTGTCACTGTCGTCGTCGACGTTGTTGAGGCTTTGAATACCAAAACGGATCGTTTTTCATTTCTAAAAACGCGACGGGAAATCTCTTTAAAGCAGACGAGAGATGCGACCGCAAAAAGGGATGATGGGGAGAATTTGTAATTGGTGGAAGTTGATGACCTGACACACCCAGAAGCTGGAAATTATTGCTTATTACTAGATGATTTTTTATAATCTTGAAATTTTTAACGATTATTAAAAGTTATAAATTATAAAAGTTATTTTTTTGTTGATTTCGTTTTTTTTGTTATAGCAGGTTGATAGTAACGAGGAGGTTGAAGTGGATATCGATGAACTTCTCGATATGGACAGTGATGATGATAGAAGGAGACACCTACAGGTAAAATTTGCACGATTTAAGTCAATTAATCTTAAATTTCAGTGATAACAAAACATTATCTTTTCCAAACGGTATTACATTTTTATCTATCGAATAAATCGTCCACTTTATATAAGTGTTTAAATTATTAATGGAGGTCTTGTCATTAAATTATCTTTAAACAGGATCAATAAGAGAACAACAAATATCTTATGTAGATAATTTATTTAAATAATCTTATTTATAACATTTAAATTTCATTTTATACATACCTTTCAATTGAAATAATAAAAAATAGAATAATCAAACTGTAACAAATATTTCTTTTAAATAAAAGAATTATAATCATATGCTATAAGTGTTGACTTTTCTTAAAGAAGTCAAAGAAGATTACAAAAATCATACAGTTTGTATTTTTAAGATTTAAGAAGTCAATTTAAAGATTGAAGTTCCTTATTTAAGATGGTATTTAAAGTTTGGGCGCTTTCTTTAAGTTAATATTTTATTTATCTCAGTGTATATTTCTTTAGGTGACGTCAGTGTAATTCTTTGATATGGTTAGTTCCATGTTGGTTCTTGTTCCTAATTTTCACTTCCTTTAAATATATGTTTTAGATAAGGAAAAACTTCTGCTTTTTGGATGTTAGTCTAGCCTAGTTCCTACAAGCGCTTTTAACTGATGGGTTCTGTGTTGTAGCTTTTTTTAAGACTTCTAGTAGCATTTCAAAAAAGTAATCCCTGCTATTATTATAGGCTGAACATTTCATGACTGATTGCCATTTCATTCTGAGTTTTCTTTTTTCTATGATTAATTGGCTAATTTCTTTAGGGTTATTATTTGCTGCTACTCTAGGATTTAGTCTTGGAGTGTTTTCCCATGCTCCGGTTTGAATCTCCTTAAGTAACATCACTGCTTCTTCTTATATTGCATTTCATTATTGAATGGATCTGTTACGTTAAATTTCTCCTTAAGGCTAATCTTGAAACATTCCCAATTTGACTGATTTTGAAATTTTCTTTGATTGTCAGCGTCGGGTTGTTTTTTTCATCTTTGATTACATTACCACTAAATGTCATTAATATTGATAAGTTTATTGGTAATATCTACATACAGTACCAATCTACTACCTTTTCAATGACATCTATAGGTATCAGCTATCTACTTATCTATAGGTAGTTTGTTATAGCTAATTATTAGGTACTACTGATAGGTACTTTTTTGTGGGTACTTATACCTATCTAATAAGAATTACTTCATTTAAAAATTTTATTATAACTTGAACTTGCCGTTTAGCATATCATATAATTCTTCATATGATTTTATTCCTATGTAATGATAAGTTCTTTCTCATCCGAGCAATACTCCTGTCGGGGTACCAGAGAGACTGTTTTTGATCCTGGTATTGCCACGCTAGTCTTATTTCTACCATAAACGTTATCTGCTTTGATAACCGATTTGATACAACGATTTTTAACTGTTTATGGAAGTTCGTAGTTTCGTAGTATACCGTTTAGACAAACTGGTATAAGCTTACAGAGGTAACAATGCAAGATATTTTCTTTAATGATGACAGCACTTTGGCAGTGTTATCGGAGACGATGGTCTGATATACTTTATAGCCTTCAAATTTGATATATTTATATTGATTCATAAAGTGACTTTCTGCTTTTATTAAATGTTAATAAACCTTCATGCTTTCATAAGGATTCATTTTATTTTCATCATCTTCTTCTGCGTCGTATTCTCATAACTGAAAAATCGTGATTCCATATTTATGAGCATTCTTTTATTTTATTCCTCCATAACTAGCGGTCTTGTGCCTTGAAGCGTAATGTCTGTTATCTTTTTTACTTGGTCCAGCCATCTAGTGGACGATCGTCCTCTTGGTCTTTTGCCTTCCAGTTATCCTTGGATTATTAACTTTAATTATTAATTTTTTAATTAATTATTGGTTGTAGAATTGTAAAATTCGTAAAGCAGCAAAAAGTGGACAGTCTGTCTTTGATCTCGAGCTCTTCCAGTATACGGTATGGTAATACGCAAATCGCGTACAAATTACGTATACTGTGATATTGGTTGCATACTTGCAATGATGACGTGGGGTACGATAATTAATTAACACACTGTAGATATGTTAGTGCGTGTGTCTGTCCACGGAATATCTGGAATTCAAAAACAGCACCAAATCTCGAAAGCCTCAAACCTTTTTATAAATATACTGTATTTTTGATAAAATAGTATTCAGTAAAATATAAAGAGTGTCTTCTTGTGCTTCCGTGTGGTGTGTTGTTTCGCAGAATCTTCCGGTTCCATTCTCTTCGTCGTCTCCTTTTCTATCTTACCTTGTCATCTGTTTTGCACTTCTCTTATGGCTGTATTTCGTTGCCTGGCGGTTAACATGCTATTCCGTTGTTATGCAGCACAGCGGTTCTTTTGCAATGGTTATGCATTAGGTCTTGTCTATAAAGATTTTCATGTAAAGTTTTCCTGCCTGTTTATTAAAATCATGTAACATTATTTGGAGGTAATCTTGTGAATCCGCAATAAGTACTGCGTCGTCTGCATAACATACAGGGTGTTCATTTCAAAACTTTCCACCTCAATTTCTGTAAATCCGGAAGTTTAAAAAGAAAATCGCTGAAATAGGTAAAGAATANCATTCTCTTCGTCGTCTCCTTTTCTATCTTACCTTGTCATCTATTTTGCACTTTTCTCTTATGGCTGTATTTCGTTGCCTGGCGGTTAATATGTTATCCCGTTGTTATGCAGCACAGCGGTTCCTTTGGAATGGTTATGCATTAAATCTTGTCAATAAAGATTTCCATGTAAAGTTTTCCTGCCTGTATTAAAATCATGTAACATTATTTGGAGGTAATCTTGTGAATCCGCAATAAGTACTGCGTCGTCTGCATAACATACAGGGTGTTCATTTCAAAACTTTCCACCTCAATTTCTGTAAATCCGGAAGTTTAAAAAGAAAATCGCTGAAATAGGTAAAGAATAAAACCAAGGGGGACAACTTTTTATGCAAAAATTGACTCACTCACTTCAACCCCCCGCCGCCAGAAACCAACCCCTTAAAAATCTTAAATGGAAAGGGGTGTCAAGTGATACCTCATTTTAAAGGTCTTTTAAGGTACTACATGTTAGTATTTATTTTTTTTAAATTGATCGATTCGTTTTCGAAATTTTTGCGAAAATCTTTGTTTTGTATTTCCCGCTTTAATTAATATTAAAAACTTTAATCACCTTCTTAAAAGCAAGAATAAGTAATCTTTTATTATTAATTTATAAAATTAAATTACCATGTTCGTTTTTACAACGACCATTAAACCTTTATTATTTCGGAGCAATCCGAAATCTTTGATATTTAGGTTATTTTGACAATGATATACCTACGTTGGCTAGCTTGCCTGGCGTCTGTCAGAGATATTTAGAAAAAACGATTTCTGTTTCATTTTTCTTTTCTTTTAGGTTTATTTGGTTATTACTTAAACAACTTTTAACTGCTTGAAACGTTCTATTTTATTTTCAGTTATTTAATTATGTACAAAAACTTTTTGCAGAGAAAATCAACTTAATAATTGTTCAAAGTGTTGTCCGTTATTAGCTAAACAATGGTACAACCGTTGTTCAAAACTACGGCGCACATTTTCAAAAACTTCCCTTTGAATTCCACGGCAAGCTGCAGTAATTCTCTGACGAAGTTCTTCTAAATTTTGAGGTTGAGGGGTAAATACAACAGACTTTAAATGACCCCATAAAAAAAAGTCTAATGGCGTCAAATCTGGTGATCTGGCTGGCCATTCTATAGGACCTCTTCGTCCTATCCATCTGTTTGGAAACGTATTATCTAACCACTGTCGTACTGGGAGAACATAGTGAGGAGGAGCTCCGTCTTGTTGAAAATGTAATTCATTCTCATCAAGTAAGGCATTTTCTTCTCTATCCAACTGATTCTCGAGAGCTTCCGTAATTAGTGGATTGATAGTATTTTCTAACATATCCAAGTACACTTCGCCGTTTAAATTTCCATCGATAAACACTGGACCAATCACTTGGTCTCCCAAAATGCCGGCCCATACATTAACTTTTTCAGGATATTGTGTATGCCCTTCTACAGTCAGATGAGGGTTTTCATTACTCCAATATCTGCAGTTATGTTTATTTACAAATCCATTTAAAGAAAAAGTGCATTCATCACTAAAGCAGATATTTTTCACAAAAACGTTGTTATTATTAATAATAGTGGTCACTTCTTCACAAAACTGTATTCTCCTGTCAAAATCGTCTTCAGTTAGCTCTTGATGTATTTTCAATTTATAAGGATGGAATTTGTGAAGTTTTACAACTTTATGAACAGAACCCAAGGATATACCAGTTGCACGAGATACCTGACGCAATGAAGTATTGGGGTTGATACCGAAATGACCCAACACTTCCAGTTGAGCGGTTTCATTCAAAACTCTCGACTCATTATGTTTTATGTTGGCAACGGACCCAGTCTGAGTGAATTTCTTCATGATCTGGATGCCTTTCATTAAAAACTGCGGCAGTTCGTCGAGCACATTCATTTTGGGATCCATACATTAATACAATTTCAATCCTTTCCTGCAAACTGTAAACCATTATTGCTGTTTTATTTAAATAACTTTGTTAAGTGGATAACACAAAGTTGTTTAAGTAATAACCAAATAAACTTATGTTTAGAATTGCACTTTTATTTTATTCTTTTCTCGCACTGTGAGCCTGCCTATAACTCGTTTATAGAAAGAGAAAAATTTCGTCTCTTTTTTTCCTTTTTTTGGCCATTCGAGTCAAGAGTAATTTTCATACAGGTTTAATGTAAAATACTTTCAATAAAATTTAGTTTAATTCATAATTATACGTGTTTAGTTTTCTTAAATATTTCCGATTGCTCCGAAATAATAAAGGTTTAATGGTCGTTGTAAAAACGAACATGGTAATTTAATTTTATAAATTAATAATAAAAGATTACTTATTCTTGCTTTTAAGAAGGTGATTAAAGTTTTTAATATTAATTAAAGCGGGAAATACAAAACAAAGATTTTCGCAAAAATTTCGAAAACGAATCGATCAATTTAAAAAAAATAAATACTAACATGTAGTACCTTAAAAGACCTTTAAAATGAGGTATCACTTGACACCCCTTTCCATTTAAGATTTTTAAGGGGTTGGTTTCTGGCGGCGGGGGGTTGAAGTGAGTGAGTCAATTTTTGCATAAAAAGTTGTCCCCCTTGGTTTTATTCTTTACCTATTTCAGCGATTTTCTTTTTAAACTTCCGGATTTACAGAAATTGAGGTGGAAAGTTTTGAAATGAACACCCTGTATATGTTTATTCTGTTTGTTCCCATTCGATATCCCCATCCTGTTTTTTTACTACCTTTATCTATTCATCCATGATTATGTTGATTGAGAAAGACTACAGACTATTACCTTGATGAAGGTTCGGAATTACTGTGTTAGGGTGAAGTTTGTTCGCATTTATGTAGTTGTGTTTGTGTTTAAGTAAATAAAAAGTTCTGTGTTTTCTTTCGACATATTATTGTTGTCGAATCTTGGTTGGAGCACTCTCTCGAAAGCGTTGGTTAGATCCTATATTGCTTACTGGTTAGATGCTATACTCTATAGATTTTTCTACCAGTTGTCTAAATATGAACAGCGCATCGATAGTAAATCGGTTACTTCGAAATCCCTATTGTTCGTCGACCATTGGCATTATTGACGCTATCTTGTCCGCAATGGTCTTATCTTAATTAGAAGTTTAAGAGAGGAACTTAGTAATGTTATTCCTCGGTAGTTTGCTGAATCTGCTTTTTTTCCTTTTATATAGTTGCGCTGTTATTTCATTCTTCTGGAATTTGTTTGTGTTGTAATACGATATTGAATAGTTTCGTGAATTCTTCTGTAATGGCTGTTCCTCCTTATTTTATCAGCTCGTAAGGTATGTTGTTTTGATTTTGGGTTTTCCTGTTTTTGAGCTTTCTTATTGTCTCTGTTACTTCTCACTCTCTTATTCTTATGATATTTGTGCTTCCAATGAGTTTTTTAAAAAAAGTATGCTGTATTGAGTTCAAAAATATTATTTCTATAAAGATTCTAAAGTTTTGAACGATATTGTTACAAAAGTTAAAAGAAATATGTTAATATACGCATATCATAAATAATTTTAAAAATGAGTTATGTAGAGTTCTTAATATAATACAGGCGCTTTTACAAATAGAAAATCTAAACAAACATATTATTAATAAATACTCAATTTTTCTTTAAAACTATCACGCAAGAAAATGAATGGTACCATAAACTTGTTAAAAAACCAAGCATAATATTATAAGTACATTGCAGCAGATTTAAAAATAAAATCACGTCATGGTTCAAGGTCGTCAATTCCGTGTTCTAGCGCTGTGGTTGGAGTAAAATTCAACTCGAGCAATTAGTAAAATTGGTGGTGGCAAATAAATTGAAAGAGTCACGACAACCACTTTGTTATTGATGACTGGCGCATCCACCAGTTTTATAACACTATCTAAATTATTGAATGATCGCTCACCTACTTTTTCTTTATTTGTTTCAGGGTTTACTTATAAACGCAAAGAAAACCCAAAGCGATGTTAAAGTAAGATTTATTGTTAATTTTTTTTGTATAAATTTGATGTATTTTTGTTTGTTGTAGAAATTTATTAATGAGCTTCTAGACAAGGTTAAGACGTTGTAGACTAAGTCAAGTGCCAAAAAAGAAACATGAAGGTAGCGACGTTGAAGAGACTTCGGCCCTATGGAGCCCCCCCAAAAAAAACCGTTTTGCACAAGTTCAGAATGAAATTCGCGACGAGACGACGTCAATGTTCATCGTATTTGTTGTATTCTGGACGTTATTTATAAATAATTATTGTGTTTTCTCGATCATTAAGTAAAAAAAAAAACGAAAAAGAATTTTTTTTATTTTTCTATGGTTTGTTTCGCAAAAAGCATTTTTTATGAAACAAATTATACAAAATGTGATATAGATTTTCTGTTTAGATTTGTCGTCTTAATTATTAATGAATGAAAACAGATCTGTTTCCAGATCGATTGGGAAAATAAAGAAATATTATTAGTTTAATTATTAATTAATTAATTGCAAAAATTAAATTTATTAAAAAATACAAATTACTTTGATGTTTTTTTTTGTAAAATTTTTATGTGCTAAAAGTACTTCGCAGTTTTTAGGATTATGTAAGAATAGCTAGTCCTTTTTAAATAAAAAGTAGAATTATACCATATCCAACTGCCTGTTGCAAACCATACATGTCAAATTGTTACTTTTTATCTGTTTTCTTTTTGTATTCATTTTTGAAACGTAAATATTATTAAATCGTTACTTATTCGATAAGTTTTATTAGCAAAAGTGGAGTTGAAAAACGGCGAAATTTTTAATGTAAATAGGCGCAATTTAATGTAATGGAATTTAAAATAAAAAGTAAATAATTGTAATCAACGCTCAGCTAAACAAAATTAAAAAATCCGGTGTTGAAAAGACGCGCTTAGGGTTTAATAAACAAAAAATGAATTGTTAATATCTTTGTATTATTCATTGTGATTTAAAGTTTAACAACTTTTAAATTTTGGTCGGTACATTTTCTGTGTAATAATTACTTTAAATCGGATTAAATAAAATACATTAAGGGAATAATCTTGATCAATGTGATCTCAACATTCTGAATTATATTCTGTTTGACATGTATTATCATAGTGTTTTTAGCATTTAGGATGTGTCTATATATTCAAAATAAATCAGCAATTACAATTTTATTATTACATATTACAATTTATTTACTGGTTTCTTTTAACTAATTATCTAACCATTCTTTGTTTTATTTGTCCATATAATTTATTTAAGATTATGAATCAACAAATGATTTAGACCTACCACCACATTCTCCTAAAATTCCTACCCAAGAGTTTTCATGTTCATTCAGCAATTAAATTATAAGCGCATAAGATATAAACATGTGTGCCCATTTTGGCACAACCACTGTTGTTCCTGTAATGAACAGAAGAAATAAATAAACGGAGTATAGTATAACGCTAATGGCAAAAGAAGATATTATAATTTGTGAAGTTGGAAGACGCGGTCAAAAAGATAAACATTTAAAAGATAAAAATCTTGAAACCATCAATATGTTGTCACCAATCGATCATTGTAGTTTTTTTATAGGTAGTCATCACAAGACCCGACGTCAAAAGTCTATCCCCCATTTAAAAAAAATTAAATTAGATCTACTATACAGAGTGTCCCGAAACTCAACGTCAAGCGGGCACCGGGTGAGAAGCCAAACCATACCTGTTCTGGTAAAAATAAGAAAAAAATCCATGTCTTTTAGTTAAGTGGTAATAGATAGTGATGTAAAATTACCGGTAATTTAAAAATCGGTAATGTTACGTAATATTACAGTAACATTGGTAATTTGTAAAAAACAGCTTTTTAAGTAATACAAGTTTTTTATTTCAAAACTGTATAAACATTACGAAAAACAACAAGAACGTTTTTTAAACTAGTCAGAGTCACAAAGGACTGTGTAATAGAGTGGATAATGGTAAATCATCCTCATCATCATCCGGATCATCCCCAACCTCGTCATCTGAATCTTCTTTCTCTTTCGTTAATTGAGTAAAGTCTATAACTTCGAAACCGATATCTTCTATTTCTTCTTCAGTAGCTTCTACTATTTTTGAATGATCGTCTTCCTTTAGTAAATTATAATTATGGGCAATATAAGTTAGTTTTCCGGCCCTCTCCACGGTAAGTCTGTTTCTTCTTTGCCGATGAATAAATCCGTAAGTACTAAAGGTTCTTTCGGTTGCCGCTGTTGACGATGGTAAATTTAAAATGTCTACAGCCCACCTGTTTGGTGGGCAGGAATTTGCTGACATAACAAATATAATCTGACATAACCAGACATACATTTTTCGCTGGAGGTAACGAATTCCTTATCAAAATTATTACCTCTAATTTTGTACAGTGCGAGTGCTTCCATAATAAGATCTACTTGTGTAGAATACTTTGGATGACGCCTTGCAGTTTCATAGATGAACTCCGTTGCAATTAAATTTTCAACTTCAGTTAAATTGTCGCCGCGTTGATTTGGTTCTAATATGTAAGCAGCAAGATGAACGGGTTTTAAACATTTATTTTGTCGTTTTTCAAGAATTGAACACATTTTCTGGTATTCCAACATAGTAATAGATAAATTTGATACTTTGTCACATAATATAGATCTTATTTCAAAAAAGCAGATAAACACTTTTGTGATTGTTGGCCCGTTAGCTTCAAAAATCGTTATCCACTTAGTGATTGGCTGGAACAAGTTATAACTTGCTTCTATTTGTAACCAAAATTCGTTTTGAAGAAGAAGTTTTACTGTATTTGATGAAAGAACATCAGAAATATCTGGGCTATCATCAACTGCTAAACTTTTTAATGAATTTTTAGTGTCCAAAAAGCTTTTTAGACAACAAACAAAGGAGCCCCATCTTGTTGGTGTCTATTGTTGTTTTGTCCAACTGGATTTTTTCAAACGTTGCATGTAAAATCTGCAAATTTTGGAAAATGGTCTAATTTCAAGAAGTCTTCAACCAGAAGGTTTAGACCGTGGCAAATACAACCATAATTAGTAATGTAATGGTACTTGCTGCTAACTATTTCACGAGCCTTTTTTATGTTAGCTCCGTTGTCAGTGACAATAGCTAGAAAATTTGAAGCTCCTAATTCTTTCAACACTTTTTCAATTTCTGAGGCCAAAAATATTGCTAAATGTCTGTTATTTTCGGTGTGTATTGATTTGTAATATACCGGAAGAGGTGTATTAATAACAAAATTAGATATGGAGTCATTTCTGCAATTTCACCATCCATCGATTTGTAGACTTAAGATAGGTGCTTCACTAATTTTTGAAGAAACTGCAGCTTTTACTTTAGTGTACTCGGATTCGAGGAGTGGATTTGACAACTGGTAACGAGAGGGTGGTTTATATGCGCATCTCATTGCTTTGAATACATCTAACCATACTTTTTTCGTTGTCATATCTAAGGGGGCTCCTGAGACCTGAGATAAATAGCCCTTGCGAGTATTTCATCAATCTTATTGTTTTCTTGAGAGGACATGTTATCAAAATACGAAGAAATTGTACCCTTTGATGCTTTAGTAGTACTTGAAACTGAAGAACTAGCTGATGAAGGCACAGGCCTGACTAGTGAAGCAATTTCTGAGTCTAAAGATTATCCCTGCCCCTGCTGAGAGGTAGTATCAGTATCATCAGCATCACTATCTTCTAATATCTCGGTTGAACTTGGCGTGGTGTTATTGTTACTACTGGAAACATTTATTATAGGCAATTTCCCTTTTTTAAGAATTTGTACTACATTTTCAGGTATTTTGGCACATTTTAGCAAATCTTGGGATTGTCTGGTAGCATTTCGTTTAAAGGAGGTTTTACAATATTTACAGAAATAGTTGCCTTTATCTTTAAGATCGTAGTACCTCCAAACATCACTCTTCGGCTTCACCATATTATCGCAACTACAAAATAAACATCATGCATTTCGGGAAGAGCTCAACTTAAAAATATCTAGACTTACCAGTTCAAATATCACATAACAAGGCAAAACAATTACAGTTATTTAATAGGAATCGCACTGATAGTTATAAACAACACCTTTTATAACAATAATGTCACTAATTATGATGAAGATTTGGCCGCTACAGACGAAAATGGATTTGGCCGCCCTTGCCTAAATAAAATTTAAAAAAAAGTGTTCTTTCAAAAATGTATTTTGATTTATTTCAATTTATTTATTGAACAAGTTGCAAATTGCAATCTAACAAATATAAATTTGTTAAAATTCTCGCCTTTTTGAATTTTCAAGGCGATATAAAGATTTGGATACATAACAATTAAGTTGTTGTTTAAAATATATTTCAAAACTTCATAAGGTGTATCACCTGGGTTTAAAAGTTTTTAAAGTAAAACTCAACTCTTCCGCCAGCTGGGTGCCGTCGATGTCTTTTCTATGTTATATGTAAGAGTAATGTCCAAATTCATACTTTGCTTTATGACATCTTCTTTTTCTCAATTTCTTAAGTCAGCAAGATAGTGCAAAAATCCAAATGTATGTTGAAAACGCTTCGCTATTGAATGAATCGCTATGTCAAGTAAATTAAAATATAGATCAAGTTTAAATTTTTGTGACGAGTCTTGTATTGGGTTGTCAAAAGGTTCATTATTGAAATTGCCTTTTCGACGTCTTAATCTGATTTCTGTAAAGTTTGGTTGTACGTTTACTGAATTTGCTAGTTCAGACGCTATTGTGGCGTTATTTTCGTATAAAAAATATCAAGTTTTCTTGTTATAGTATTTCTTACATAGTATTTCTCATCCAGGTATAAGAGCTTCTAAAAAATAATAATACAAGATATTTTTGGCCTCATATGAATTCCAATATATCTCTTTGGACAAAAGCATGTGTTAAATGTCAAATTTCAAAAATCCAAAGACATACAAAATCTCCAATTATGAAGATTGATATTCCTAAAGGCCGTTTTGAACATATCTACATTGATATTGTAGGTCCCCTTCTTCCTTCTGGTGGTTGTTCTTACATTTTAACAATAATTGAAAGATTTACTAGATGGACAGAAGCTTTTCCTCTTTTATCAATTACTACATAAACTATTGCTAAAACACTTTACGTTTACTACTTCTCACGTTTTGGAATTCCACATAATAACACACGATCAAGGCCCGCAATTTGAATCTCAATTATTTAAAGAATTGAATAAGTTTTATATTTCTTTCCTTATCTAGAATCATTGATTATTTCTCATTTCATTCTTCAGCAAAGACTAAGGCTTAGCTTAGGCTTAAATAAATAATTTTTATTAATATATCCATGTAAAAAATTAAGTTGGACTAATTTTATCGATTGAAATCTTCAAAAAGTTGTCAAATTTCGAAAAAAAGAACAAATTCAATGACAGTTAACAGGGCGTGGCAAATAGTGTGACGTAGAGTGCGGGCAACCAACCCGTAGTAGGCTACAAAAATACAGTGGATGTAGCAGTCCAGGCCTTTTCGATGGTGATTGTTCGGGGCTAGTGTCATCGCGATCATCTCTGTCATCAGTTTCCAAGCCACACATAATGTCAATATGTGGCTCCATTGCTGACCCTACTGCAACTTCTGAAAATTCTTCATCATCAGGATAATCCATGTCTTCGAACACATGTCTACTCCACCAGCAAATTTCCGCAACTATTGCACTCGGCGACTGTTTTCCTCTTTATCTGATTTTTTTGTTGTATTAAAATGAGTTTGAAAGAAAATCTGATAGGTATCACCTAATTTCAAATGGGATAGCAACTTGATGATAGTGTTCGCCTTGTTCATCAAATTTAGTGGCCAATTGTCTGCTGAAATAGTCCACATGATGATGTAAATAGTGAATTTTCAAGGACATGCCGACGCCAATTTTCGAGAAGTATGTACCCGACAAAGTATGCAACCAATATCACAGATTGGTATTGCAGCGCGACGAAAATTTCTAAAAACGATGGCGACAATTTATTAACTTTAAAAGACGTTTACATCATTTGGACATTTCATACACTTTAAAATGTGATTCTTTAAATGATGGCAATAACGGAGCTTATTCCAATTCCAGTGGCATGCAGTCTCGTGAGCAGTCAAAATTGTTTTAATTAAAGAACTTAACTATGATTCTTTTAAAGTTACAAAGATACGCCTTGGATCTTCCAATATAGGCATTTTCAAAGCGATACATGAGCAATCCTGAAATCAGTACAAGAATTATGGAACATCAACTTAGTATACAAAAAAGTATTACCAACAGGATTATTGCAGACTAATTCCTAAATCCTTATTCCATCCAATATGTACAAGACTTATTATATTTGTATCTTTTGATATCTTAGTACTGCCAGGATCGGTGATTTAGCTGATAGATACGAGCAAATCTTAAAAGTAAAAAGACCGTTGCAAGTTTTGGTAATCATTGTTATAGTTCTGCCATTTGGCACTTTAGAAGAAGATAACAACATAACATAACCTGGATTACTAGAACAGAAAACAATCAATAATCAGGTAACTTTCTCTCTCTTCCTTTAGAATAGAACCAGTTGTCAAAATAGTTCTTATTCGCTCAGTTTACTCTACCACTAACCATCCTAATAAAAATCAGACTTAATTGAGCAACCCTTTAGGCCAACATATAACTAATAGCTCAGAGTAAGTACACACATGAAACAATCTGACTGCCTAATTAAAATAACGTGTTATGCTGAGCCAAATTAATGTTAATGATATGTAAATATTATAGTGAAGATTTCCAACTCTAACAAGAGCAGGTACAGCTTTGGAAGACTATTTTTGATAAAGAACGAATGATTCCCTCCGTCAAAATGGATGCTTGAACGAATTATATGACTTCATCCCGGATTGAACGTTGTTTTCGATTATTCAAGTCGTTTTCCAGTTCAATAATTTTGTGTAGATTTCAGTTATTCTCTTTCTTAATTCATGGCGTATTAATAAATTTTTCAAGTTAATTAAATTTTAAGTGTTTTTTCCTGTAAACTTAATATCTAAATATTTATTGTTTACTTTTTATAGAACTAAATAGGAAAAGAAAAAAAGAATTTATTTATAATAGTTTATTGTAATAAATATCATAATATGTGATAACATTATTTTTTTATTTTGTATAAAGGAAGAATGGGTAAACTACGTATTATCTAAAGCGTTATTGCTTCTGTTAATTAATAAATTAATTGAGCAAAAAAAAATTAAACATTATGGTGGTGGTTGATTAAAATTAATTACATTTGAGGCAGGTACTTCAAACTGATTTAAAAAATCTCACTAAAATAATATGTGACTCCATAATAATTAAAAATCGTTTGAAAAAGCACTAGTGCTAAAATTAAAGAAATAAAATATAAATATTTTTATGAAGTAAAAAAAATGTCGTTGCGATATGATTAAAAACTCTATAGTTTTTAATTTTTACTTCATTAATTTAAACTCTAATCTATTGGCAGTTTTTCCTTTTAAGTGTTTTCTTATTTTTCTTTATATTATTTTTTACTTACAACTAATATCGAGGCAAATCGAAAATTCCACACCGATCCGTATAAAAAATCTTGTACTGAGGCACTCTCTAAAGAAATCGTTTTTGATAATATACAATCCAGTAAAAAGTTGTAAATTTTCGATCTGCCATTTTTTAGTATAAATACGATTACAGTGCAAAAAGGTTTTTTTAATAATTTGGTACATATCAACTACAACTATTTATTATTCTTTTATTTTTATAGTTAAGACTAGATTTGTTTTCAATTTAATTTCTTCCTGATATTTTTATTCCTTTCTGTTGATTAAAACAAATTTGATCGACAATAAAAATATTTGATTTTATAACAAAAATCGCTAAAACAATTCTTGGTCCATTTCATCTTTTATAAAACAATAACACATTATAAAACATTTAAAAATTTCAACGTAACAAATAACGTATTCATTCTATTTTGAGATGTTTAGTTTAGTAATAATTTAATTGTAAAACTTCGAACGGAACATCCAAATCAGATTCGTACTCGGATTCGTTGAAACCATCCGCTTGGGCTACGACCGATGGTACGAAATAGAATGAGGCAGCTTTTTGCTATTCCTCCGTCAGCTCCCAAAGCATAAGACCCGCGTCAGTTCCACCCACGGTAACAATATTACGATCATTAAACAAAAATCGAGCACACGCTACCGTTCCACTGTACAATTTCTCTTCGTTGTATTCTGCTTTTGTACTCAAAACGGGAAATCTATAAAGAAATTTAATTTATTATTTTTGCTAAGTTTTATTATAAACACAATTGACGCATTACACATCCCTGGGAGATATATTTGTATACAGGTGTCCTAATACCACGATTATAACATACAGATCCTAAGTTCAAAATACATAGCTTGAGGCTATAAAAAGATATTACAGATCTTGGCTGCAAAGATGATAATAAAGAAAACAAAAGTGATAATAACTTATAGTGCACAATCAAAACCAACCCGAAACGGCCTTGAAGTTCCGCCAAACTGAATTTGGTAGATACAAAATATTTTGCCATACTTCCAATGGTTATGCAAGATTCTATTCATTCTATATAGAATTGTATGTTTTTTAAATATATATTGTATTCCTTGGTAATTTTTAGACCAAACGTCTTCCCCGTTCAGATAAGATGCTTCTGATATGAGATACTACTTCTTGCAGACTTATGAAAATGCAGTTTGTTTCTTTAATATAGCTATTTTTAATCCTAGTTTGAAAAAGAAGTGTGAATATGCTGTTACTCTTTCTCCTATTGTTTGCGCAGTCCATAGCTCATTTTCTGACATCTGCTGAAACATTCTTCTTCGTCCTTATCAAGTTGCACGGAAACAGCATTTACTGGGAACTTGAGCACAATATTTTCTATATCTGACAACATATATTTGTCGGATACATCATCTTTAATTTCGCCTGCAAAAGTTTCTCCCCCATTTAATTTTTAACATTATAGATTTTAGTTAGATAGGCGTGGTCTTATAATTTTTAATTTAAAAGTAGAATGACATACAATGCTGTTTCCTAAACTTTTATCCGGTTTCGTCCCTTAAAAAAATGTGATTTCATTCGCACTCGTTAATGCGTTTTTAAAGTATGTTCAACAAAACTCGAATGCCTCCACTGCTGATGGCTCAAAAATGTTCGAGATAACGGAATGAGTTTATTTTTAGAGTTACGTGCTGGGTTTATATTGCAAGGATCTAAGTAAGTTGCTAAGATCCTATTAAATGGTGTTGTTTAATGATATTTGCAAGAAAGCGATCCCTTTGTAATCATACTAATCGAGATCTAAGATCTTATCCTAGTTAATCTTATACCATTAGTCTAAAAACCTCCTCTATCAGAGGTCTCCCAAGAATTTTGAAAGCATCCTCATGTTCCTATGGCTACCCAGTATAATTTCATAGGCACTAACGAATCTAGAATGAGCTTTGTGAAGCACCTCGTACATACAATTTCTGGACAACTAACCGGGAGTAGATTTCAAAACTTCTCCTGCCTTTAATACTGTTTCAATCCCTCAATGGGAAGAAAATCTTCTCTTTAACCTGGGAGTAACATACAACTAAATCCCTATCGCCTAAACAGATATCCAAAAACTGCAATAACCACACCTTTTGTATGAATTTCTGAGCAGGTTTCGGAAAGAAAGATATTCACAACAGAATAATTATTTATAGTTAAGCAAATACTGCAGACCGTCTGGGCATATGACGTTGATGTATGATTTTGATGTGGCACAAGAGTAAGCAAAGGGGTACACTGGCAGATTCCGATAGGCAGGACATGTGGTCAGGAAGGAGAAGGAAATGATACTGAAGTAACTGCTTAACAAGAGAATGCACAAACCGAGAAATAGGGGAAGGCCAAGAGCAAGGTGGGAAGACAAGACGGACTGGGATGCGAGAAATATGCTCCCAAGCAAGATAAGCAAATTCCAAAGTAATTCAACTAAAATGTAACTAAATCACAAAATAATTAAAGTCTAAAGCAGGGGTTCCCAACGGGGTTGATACCGACCCCCTGGGGGTCGATAGCTAAATATACATATATGTACTAATTATATTAGTGCTACCAATAATGTATAGTTTTTAATAAATTTTTTGTAATTCGCTACGGTAATGGAAGCTATAACAGTACTCAAACGGGTGCTGTAATGAGACTCTTTACAGCATCCGATGCTGTAATGAGATTTTAGTAACATTTTATGGAACCAGTTCAAGTTGGTGACATTGGGTCATTAATTTTTCTAGTTGTCAATGTGATAATTTTTGTCTATGGATGTTTAAACACGTTCTTAGCATCGAATACAAGGTCCACAATGATGAGGACATTGAACACTGAGCAATTTCTCTTATTTTGGGAGGTGTGCTTGAAACATTTTTTTCAGGTGAATACATTTTGTGTTTTGACAGTTTCTAATTGTCAATTCAAAATTTCTATTTTCAAGTGTTCCGGTGTTACCAACTGCTACATACCTATTTCCCTACATTGTCAAAATTTGTTTTATTTTTGTTAAAAAAAAAAAGGATAAAGACGCGAATTACAAAAAATAGCATAAAAAACACGTTTCATAAGACTTAAAGCACTCATTCATTAAAAAACTCGTGGCTACGCCACTCGTTTTTCAACTTGAATTCGTGCATTTCAAACGTGTCTTACGAAACTTGTTTTTTAATATACTATTAAATAGTTTAAATAATGATAATCAAAGCAATAAATATGATCAAATAGAAAGCTTTGAATGCCCGGCTTTTTGCCCAACTGTGTGATAACAATAATGAAAATTTTAATAATTTGCTTCTTCATACGAAAGTACGCTGGCTGTCTAAGAGAAACTGTTTGCAGCGTTGTTTTATAGAGATCTTTAATACCGTCGTTGAGTTCTTGTTTGATGTTGACGATGAAATGGCGGCAAGTTAAAAAACACATTTTCTATTTGGCTGATATTTATTCATTAATCAACGCCACACAAAATAAACTGCAAGGAAGAGACGTTCTTATTGAAGCCAGAACGGTGATCTTTGGGTTTCGTTCTAAGATTGACTTGATTATATCGACATTAAATTGGAAAGAATTTCGATACTTTGATAATCTGAAGCTATTGTCCACCATTGAGAAAGATTGTATTTTAGTGGAAGACATAACATTATTTTTATATACAAGCCATTTACAAAATTTAAAAGATGATTTTAATGTTCGATTTAGGGATATTGAAAATTTGAATGTGCCAGTATGGCTTATAGACCCAATGTAGTGCGACACGTCCCGACTTGATATTGATGATCCGATTCAAGAAGAGATGCTTACATTGAAGGAGGATATGGAAACACAAATATTATTCAAAATGCATGGTTATGAATGATGTTTTAGAATTTAAAGGTCATCCGAGAAAAGTATCGACGCTTACAGGTCCTGACAGAGCAACTATTATTGACTTTCCCTTCTTCTTACCTGGTGGAAGTAGAATTTAGCCATGTCCATAATTTGTTGCGTATAACAAGAAATAAGTTAAGCATTTTTGAAAGAGTTTATAATGTGTTTTTGAAATAAAGGTGTATTTTTGAAAAAAAAAACGCAAGGGGTTGATACAAGAAAAAGGTTGGGTACCTCTGGTCTAAAGCAATCCGAACACAAAGAAATGCAAATATAAAATAAGTCAAACTAAATAATATTAAGTCAAAATTAATGTGTGGTTGAGTTGGGTTGCATTACGAATCCGATCCAAACATAAACAATGCTACCGAACAAGTGTATGGAACTAACAAGTCCAATACTAAAGGAACCAATCCAACTCAAAAGTTATTTAACAAAAAGTTCTGTCGGCTATTTGTTGCTTCTCCGTTTTTTTATACTGTCTGCCTGTGTACTGATTCTTCTTCTAATGAATTCATTGTGTTAAGAATAAAACACAAAACTTAAAAGTTCTAGTATTTCTAACAAAATATAAACCTTAACAGAAATATTTTGCTTGCCCAACTTTTGAATAACAGAATTTTGGTAATAAGTTTAGAGTAGGTTAAAAAATTTAACTTGTGGAGCAAGAGACTTCAAACTTTTTCTTATTAATCTGTACACTTTACCAGCCATTTGTAGTAAAGCATCAAAAAGTTCTGAAACGTAATGACGACCATCAAATATGTTGAGTTAACATATTGTTCGTGTTTAATATCATGTAAAATTAATAATACCAAGTAATTATCATTACTTTTACTTAATAACCAATACTGTCGGAGTCTGTGCGAAAATATCTAAGATGTCATTATTAATTATATTGTATTCACCTTCTCTCGATAGATACTTGTATGTATCAGGTCATTTCTCTCTTGTAAAACTTCTTTTCGAACGGGACAAATCGTAGGGGGAAAAGTCTTAAAAGGAATGATTACCTTAAGTACTGCTGAAAAAATGTCAGTTTTCTTCAAAGTGTCATATAGTGTTAACTCTGCTGTGTAGCTTCTCCACAAAGAAATAAGAAAATATCTCCTTGCCTATTTTACTAAAATTCTTTCGATACATGTTTGCACAATAAGTTTTGTCTCTTTAAGGTTAACAAAGTTTGCAATTTGCCGAACCTGATTATTAATCATTAATAACTAAATTCCGTCCGTCTTTTCCAGCAGTCGTTGCACATCCAAGACTAACAAAAATTAGGGATCTGTTGAATCTTTCTGTGTCGTTTTCATTACAGATTTAAAATTACTGCCATAACACTCGATTTTTGTGTCATTCAAATGTGATAGCATAATTGAAGATTCATACCATGACAACCATAAGTTCAAAGTTAAATAGTCTTTTTGAACGTGTTTCTGAAGAAGGTTGCAACATGGCATCCGTTTTGAAGTTTCTTGTTCAAGGTTTAGTGTTAGTTCTAGTTTCAATTTAATGTTCCAACATTTATGTTAAAGTGCTCGATCTAATTTTACAATCTAAAATAAGATTAAATTCTTTGCAGTGGAAGAAGGTAATTCTTTTATTGAGCCATCTTTCCACATTGTAATTTTATTGGGACAAACCTTACATTTCTCCGTTTATCTTTTGATAAATTGATTCTTTTTCATATTGACAATAGATTGGAGGAAGAAGTTATACATATTATGATAGATTAGATTCACGATTTGTATCTTAAAATAGGTAACAGATATTTATAAAATGATTCAACCTCCACTAGGAAAATTATGTATGTGTTAAATGAGCTTTATTTACCTGAATAATCGTAAATATCCGTCAGTATCACCACTAATTAATAAATCGTGAGCTGCTGATCGACTGGCAGTACTTATTATGGATGTCATTGGATAAAATCGGTTATTCCAAATACCTGAATTTATATAAGGATAGATTTTGTTTAAACCGTTAATTACAGAAATTACCCGCAACAAGGAATCCAACTGTTGAATTATGAGTGTACCATTTTATGTCTTTCATTGCTATTGGACTTTTTTCGGGTGACAAAGATTTGATATCCCCTAAAAAAGCACACATTTTCATAAATTAAGTATTACATTTTACTATGACACAATATCATCGGTACAATATTTGTTGAGCTAGAATTAATAAAAAGCCATTACATCATTTCTTTGGATTAATTCAAATATAATGTTCTCTTCTAAGGTCTGAAAACTTTAGCTTAACAATTATTGTAACATTTCGTAAACAAAAAGCAAACAGTAATAAGAACTTTTAATTTCTTATAAAATTGATAAATTGGTTTTTGCATTAACTGCAGGCTTTTTCTTAATGAATTAATATCTAGAGAGGACAATTTTGAAATATAAACTTAAACAATTATAAACTCACAAAATGACAGATCATAATCGGCAGTGACCGTTTGAACATAGTTACTATCCGTGCTCCAGTCCAATTGCATCAACGGTTGACTTCCACGAATCTTATTGGACTTTTTATAAGAAAATCCATCTCGACTCACTCTAAAAATATATACGCTTCCATTCTGCGAAGCAATCGCTATCATATCACCACCTACAAACATAACATTAATATCACAATAACAATTTAAAATTTAGGATGTGTTAAATAAAGGTTGATTTATTTTTTGTTGTGCAGAAAAAGGACGTATAAAGGTTGGAAGTTAAGATGAAAATTATATTTCTATTGATTATATCTTAAAAACCACCCATTTGATTATTATAATGATTTGTACACATATAGTAAATTAAAAAAAAAAGTTTATAAAGAATTTTTTTTCTAAGAAGATCTAAATTGATCAGTACGCAAAAATATTCCTATACAAATATTTCGACATACGATCTTGCTGAAGACAAGAAACTTTCGCCAGTGGTGAATATCTGGAAAACTCGAATGAATTTTTGAACAAGCTCTAAGGCTATACCAGCCTTCCAGCACTGGCAGAGAAGTAAAAAACGACAGATTGGTGGAAGATCTGGACCTTACTTATAACGAACACAAAGCTGTCCATAGAAAAGTTTAACTATCCGCACATGATGGTCAGAATAAACGAGCAATACCTATTTATTAGAGAAGACAAAGTGCTGGCGGAGCCCTTTCTGAAGCAGAAGAATTATTCGGTAAAAGACTAAAAAAAAGAAAGGTTAATAGCTTGCATTAATAAAATCTAAAAACTTTGAGATTGCTGTTAAAGGCCTCTTAAAGAACCTTATAAAAGCTATGACATAATAAGTCACCTGGCAGTAAGAAAATCCCTGCTGAAAGGGCTTAACTGATCTGTCAGTTACACAAAATATATGAGCAAATATGGACTACAAAAGAAATGCCCGAAAATAGGAACCTGGAGATCATCTGCCCTATGAATGCGAAGTGTGAAAATTATAGAGGTTATGTTAAACATAGCACATAAAGTATTGTTCAATGTACCATATAAAGCCTGTTTGTTTATACAGAAAAGCTTCTAGAAGAGTATCAAAGTGGATTCCATCGATACCAAGTCCATTTATAAGAGCATACAAGCCAAACTATATGATATCCTATATAGTTTCTATATATGCTTCTGTAGATGCTATATAACTGTCTAGCCGCATTAGTAAAAAATATCTTATACTACCCGCGATTCCTCTGCTCATCTTTAAAAGGAAAATTCTTTGAAACATTTTTGAAAGTACGTGTGAGATTGGAACATGACGATGCAGATACAACTTTGAATTACGAGTATACCAACTATTAGGAAAAGAATTGGAACCAGATGTCATGGTTAGACTTAATGTCATGTTATTGCAATGGAAAAAGCTGTGCAGAACTAGCATCAGATACATATATAAATGTACCGAATGTATCACGCATGCCAAACCACAAGAAAAGCGGAAATAAGGAAGGCCTAAATTCAAGTTGGAGGACATGATAACAGAATACGCACTCACAGTCGAATTTAGAGATTGGATACAGCTACACACAACAATGACGAATACGCAGCCAAGGTTGTATTGAGCAAAGGTTGGATAACAATAGAGGAAGAAACTTTGGAAGTCCAAGACACGCAGAGGATTATAACGTCACAAATGATGATGATAATGAATCCAACATATTCGATGACCAAGCTACAATGTGTTCAACAATTTTATTCTATAGAAAATTTTTATAAAAGGATTTGAAGAACACTTAACTATTTCCAGCAATAATTACTTTTGCGATTTTTCTACTAACAAACAGTTCCGCCGTGAGAAGTTTTAGTACAATAAGGAAAGTGAAGCCGGGCAATAAACATGAATCTTTTACTTCTTTTTCTACGGCCGATAACTTAATGATGGTAATAATGCGGTCGCTGGAAAGATATTTTAGCCGGAAGGATTTGGAGGTGAACGTTGACAAAACGAAAATAATGAAGTTCTGTAAAAGGGATCGACGGAAGATTGAAGACTAGGGATGGGAAGGGAAGGTGATCGTGGAAGTGACTGACATATTAAAATGTTGGCAGCGAAGACGAATAAGGTTTTGGGATGGTGTGAGAGGATTTTTGAGAAAGATGTGGGAACAAGGAAATAGAATAGGAGATATGGGGATGGAAGGGCTCTTAGAGGATGTACAGACCAGGTACTGGAAATGAAGGGGAGAAATTAAGGTAGAGAAGGTGAGGGTGGAGGAGGGTAAGCGAGCGGTGGGTTTTCAGGATTAGGTGGAAGGTAGAGGGCATTGTAAAAGCTTGGGGGAGTGCTACAGACATATTGAGGTAAGTAAGGAGCGTTATGGGCAGGAAAGGGAGGAATACTACAGAAGAGTGGGATATTCAACGGAAGAAGTGAACAGGAAAAGAAAAGAGGGAATTGAGATGTGGAAACAACTGGAAAGCTGGAACAGGGATGCAGGAATGCGAGAGAGAAGGCCGGCGACAAGGGAAACCAGATACAATTCAAAATACAGTGAAATTGTAGCAGAGAGTCTACCCAAGTAGCTGATGACGGAGGGAAATGAGGAGTTGGTAGCCAGGTTTAGGTGTGGCAATGAAAAAAGGGCCAACAGATATTGAATAGAAGATGAAGAGAAGGGGTGCAGACTTTGTGGGGAGGGCTGGAGTCTTCACACCATCTGCTGGTGGAGTGTAGTGAGTTGAGGAAGGAGGTGATGGATTGGAGGCAGGTGTTGGGGAGAGGGCGTAGGGAAGGAGATGGATGGGGGAAGTGGTGGCAGCGAGGAGACGTTGGGACACGGGGAGAGGCTGGTTAAAGGAATAGTAATGAGATACGTTTGCATAATCACTTTATCAGGCGTACGGGAAATTTTGAATCATCGTTTTTTGGTTTGTACAAACCATGTCTCGGGAACTGTGAATAAGCAGAATTTCCGCTATTGGTCAGAAAATAATCTACGGAAAGTTCATGCGCGCCCGCTTCATAGTCCGAAGATTACAGTCTGATGTGCAGTATCTGATTTTGGGGTGTGGGGTACTTACTTTTTTAATGAGGGTGGAGTAACGGTAACAGTTAACGGAATTCGTTAATGTGACATGTTAGACAATGTTTTACGGCCAAAATTTAACGAGTTAAACGATTATCAGCGAGAAATAGATTTTCTCGCAGAGAAGTCAAAGTCAAAAAAGAATAGAGTCACTTAGCTTTAATTTAAGATATAAATTATTTCCTTACTGCTCAAATTAAGGTCGAAGTGATTTTAAATTTTCCTATTTCTGATATGATCCAACCAGATTTTCTTATAAGATATTTTTCAGGACTTTTTATATTAAATTATATTATGCCTATATCATTTAGACAAATTTAGGTTTAATTTAAAATATAAATCATTTCCTAACTACTTTCAATCAAAATCAAGATAACTTCTTTAAATTTTCAATTTTTCTGACATAACCCAAATGAACAGATATTCTTATAAGTGCTTTTTTCGGGAAATTTTTTATATCAAATTATATTACATCTATATCATATCTAAGAATAGAGTCACTTAGCTTTAATTTAAGATATAAATTGTTTCCTTATTACTCAAATTAAAGGTAGAGGTGATTACTTTAAATTTTCCTATTTTTGATATGATCCAACCAGGTTTTCTTATAAGACATTTTTCAGGAAACTTTTTATATTAAATCATATTATGCCTATATCATTTAGACTAATTTAGGTTTAATTTAAGATATAAAACATTTTTTAACTTCTTCAATCAAAGTCAAGGTAACTTTTTTAAATTTTCAGTTTTCAGCAAGAGCTCGTCTTCAAGCGATATTCCCAGGCAAAGTTATATCACAGAATAACAGTTATTCTGTGGTTGTGTCTTTAAGGGGTAACCTTGCGTGGCCTGCGCGTTCGCGTAATCTATCCCATTACGATCTTTTTCTTTGATGATACCTTAAAGCCCAAGTTTTTAAACATCGTCCAAAAAAATTTTACGAACTAAGGCCGTAAGACAAGAAATCGCCGCAATTCCATAAGAGATAATTCACAGAGCAATGGCGCGGTTTCGTGAAAACCTGCAAAACTGTATTGACAGTAATGGCTGTCATTTAAGTAATGCTCTTTTTAAAACATAAATTAATTTATTATATTAATTTTTTTCAAAATGGCATTAAATGTAGTTTCTAAAATTAAAACAAATTTTTCTTTGCTATGTGTGGTTTGGTTTTACCACAACTATGTACCCTTATAACTACAGAGATTATTCTGCAAATACGTCAACCTTAATTTACACTACACTACCTATGTACTGTTTACTATTTCGATTAAATTAACGATTTCATTAAAAAAATAATCGTAATAATAAAGTCTTTTTCCAACATTTCCTCGTCTTTTATAAGATAAATATTAATTAGATAATTAAATAACTTTAAACAAACAAACCTGGATTATATCCCACACAGTTTAATGGAGATCCACAAACTCTAACGGTAGCTGCAACTGCTCCAGACTCCGCATTAATAATAATTAAATGTCCCTCGGTGCTTCCGGCCGCCAAAACAATTCCAAACGGATGGAAACCCAAAGAAATACACTCGTATCCCACCTGAGTCGTCCATAATAATTTATTTTTCCGCCACAAAGCGATATTTTTATCATGACCGGCGGTTGCGAAAAGTTCATCATCTGGGTGAACGGCTAAACCCCAAAGTTGTCTTCCATGACCAAAAACGACCTGGTTAAACCGTCGTTGCAAGGATCCTTCCAAAATGTTGTTTTTAGTTGTTCCAACATAAATATTCCCATCGTTTCTTCCGGGACGTTGCGGATAAATCGAACGAACTCCGCCAGCGGCTTCAGGAAGTTTCGTATCCGTAATCCGTTTGTAATTTTGTAACGAATCCCATGCGGCGATTTTACGATCTTTTTCGCCGCCGCTCAAAAGAGTTCCTTCCGATAACATAACTAACGAACTGACCCCTTTATTATGAGCTTCGAATTCCATTCGGACGAAATAAGCACCATCGCTGTCTACGCTGTAAATCGTGATAAATCCGTCGCTATCTGCGGTGATTACATCTCCATCTTGTTCGAATTGAAGGCTGGTGATTAAAGTTCTTGAGGGCTTTAAGAAAAAGTTTAAAAAAACGAAAAAAAAAGTTGAGTTGTTAATGAAAGTGGAAAAATGTTGGGTATGGTTACAATATTTACTGGTTTGATGATATCGGTACGCTCAAAAAAGCCATCTTTTCTCCGATTCCAAAAGGTTAAGTGACCTTTACCGTGAGTTATTAATAAGTTGTCATCTAATGGGTGGAAAACTGCTCCTGTTAATTCTTCTTGTAACGTCTAAAAATAATAATAAAGTGAGTGTTGAATTTTTTGTAATTCTTTTTACTTACAGCTACTTTTCCTAAAAGATGTCCCCATTGCCATTGCCAAACAGATAAAATGCTTTCTCTCCCCCCGTCTACTGCTAAAACATAACTTCCACCGTTCTAAAAACATAAAATAAATTTGAAGAATAAGAATGAATTAATTTTTTACTAGTTGAGAAAAAGCGACGGCTGCAACTCCCACTTCAAACTCGCCCATTCCAAAAACGTATAAAGTTTGTAAAGTTTCCGTGCTCCATATTCGAATATGAGCTTGCGTTTTTCGATTTCGACCCGCTTTTTGACCGGAAGCAACCATCTCTCGTGATGGATGCAAATCCATGCTGTCAAAAAAATTTGATAACAAAAATTTTTTTATTTAAATTTGTGTTACCATTGAATATCTTCAGTATGTCCCACATAATGTCTTTGAGTTTCTTCATCTCTATCGTACATTACAGCAACCGCTGCAACAAAATAAAGAAGTTCCCCAGTTGGAAGAACCCACAAATTTCTTCTAGAATCTGTTCCTCTATACCCATAACTACGATATAAAAATTAAGAAAAATATATTTTTTTTTGAAAATTATACTAAGATTTATATTAGTGGTGGAACGAAATTTTTTTATTAAAGTATCTTCTTTTTAATGCAACAAGCCGTTTTGAATAATCGCTTTTAGTTCTTGCGAAATACATTTTTGAAATGATCGATAATATTTTCGAATTTTGCAATTTCCGCCGATTAAGTTTTAAAAATTCGTATAAAATCCACTTCTTGGAATATGAGTATGAAAATATCCCAAAGTGTTAATAAAAGTGTCCTCTTTCCAATGAACCAACCCGTTTTGAAAAATAACTTTTAGTTTTTGAGAAAACAATCTTTGAAGTTTTGATAAAATTTTCGATGTTGCAATTTTCATCGATAATTTTCAAAATTCGCTATAAAATTAATTTCTTGAAGGATCCTTGTGAAAATATCACCAATTATTAATTAAAGTATCCTCTGTTTAGAGTTACTTCGTTGGTTAAATCAGCGTCAAAAAAGTTCGTTTTGTATCTTGGATCTAAATAAATAGAAATTAGCCATAAAGGCCGGATAGATATGCCGGATAACCAGATATCCGGCCGAAGAGGATGCCGAATATCCGGTATCCGGCTTTTCGCAAAATCACTACCCGTTCCATCACTAATTTATGTTATTTATTTTTTATAAGGATACACCCATTCTAATTGCATTTTCTTCTCAGGTGGTGTATTATCCATTGGAGCATGATGTATTGGCGGATAAAAAGTTCGTCGTAATCCTTTTATCGTTACTCGAATTGGTTCTTCTTTGAGCACTTCTAATAAAGTATAGTCTACATATAAAATTTTATTAGATAACTATTTAATATATCATTTTTGACTTATTTTACCGGTGTTTCTAATAATTTCGCTTTCAGGAGCATATAAAGTCCTCGGTCGACTTTTGCTTCGCGCTCTCCTCTTACTTATATCTTCAACAATCGCTGTTTGTGGTTGACGAGCTCTCGATTTACGAACCGGCGACATCATCACCGCAGCCCCCATCGCTCCAACTCCCAAATAAAACGTATCTACATCTGCAAATTCATTACGGAGTTGCGAAAAACTTCGCACTTCTTGCCCGGAAACTGTGTACATTCTTTTCGCGCCGTTCATTTTAAGAACTTGTCCTAAATCTTCTAGCACTTCTTCGAACGGTTGAGTGGTGCGAAGATTTAAAAGTACACGACACTAAAAAAATGGTTATTTTAAAAAACATTTCTTTTATGTATTATTTTCTTACTTGTACAGTGTGATCCATATTATTAATGATTCGTATTACTCTTCCGGAACTTGGTTTGATACTTGTGCCGCCACCTGGCGGTGGAACGTCGGTTTCAATAATAGCATAAAAGCTATGACATAATAAGTCA